ACAGAGCCTGCCAATACTGGCTAGAAACCGACCAATCTGCAAAGCATCCCTGGCTACCTGGGCCCGTGCGCAGGGCCGGGTCTTTCCCCTCCCTGCCCAGGTGACCAGAGCATCGCCTCCCAGGCGCCAGGCTATTGTCTGCAGACAAGGAGCGAGATCCCCGCTGTGAGAGATTCAACAGCAGCCTCTCAGGCTGGCTGAGACAGATCTCTGGAGAGGGGCACCGATGGGGCATTTCTGCCACACATATGACCCTAGGGCAGGGGTGGGCAAAATACAGCCCACGGGGCCACTAAAAAAATGTAGGAAATTAATATTTCTCTGTCCTTGGTTCCTGTCAAAAACGCAGGGAAGCCCAGTGGGCTCCAACAACAATGGGGCCCGCCTATCCCCGCCCCCCAGTTGGAAGCCCCAGATGCGGTTTCTGGGCTGGGAGCAGTGGCTGCTCCATGTGGGAAGCTCAGATAAGTGGCGGGGGGGACCCCTGGCAGGGAAGGAGCATGGGGGGCGGGAAGCACCCTCTTCCCTGCCCCATGGCGGGTGCCCCGCACTGCAGCTGCTTGTAGCCTGTGTGGGGCTGCCTGTGCCTGGTCTGGACAGCCCCATGGGCTGCAAATGGTTGCAGCAGGGAGCGCCCGCCATGGGGCGGGGGAGGAGCTGCTTTTCCCCCCACGCTCAGCTTTTCCCTGGGCTCCTTCCCTTCACAGAGAAAAGCGGCCCTTGCCCACCCCGTGGGTAGCACTCCCTGATGCAGGTGCTTGCAGCCCATGCAGGGCTGTCCAGAGCAGGCACAGGCAGCCCCAGGCTGGCTGCGAGCGGCTGCAGCATGGGGAACTAGGCATGGGGCAGGGAGGGGCTGCTTTCTCCCCCCCCCCCCCTGCGCTCAGCACCACTGTATAACCCGGCCCCACTGCTAGCCTGGCAGTGGGGCAGGTTACAAGATGGGGCTGAGTGTGGGGAAAAGTTGCCCCTCGCCCGCCCCATGCCTGGCACCCCACGCCGCAGCCACCTGTAGCCTGTATGAGGCTGTCTGTGCCTGCTCTGTACTGCCCAGTGTGGGCTGCGAGCACCTGCAACACTGGGCATCAGCCATGGGGCAGGCAAGGGGCCACTTTTCCCCATGCTCAGCACCACCTTCTTCCTTGCTGGTGAGCAGGGGGTCAGGGCTGCGCGCTGCCCTCCACCTGTATTGCAGGGCAGGGGGCACAGGGTGTGAGTGGGCAGGGAGCCAGTGGGAGCACAGGGCCCACACCAGCGTCCCGGGGCCAGTGCCGGTGGGACCCAGAGCAGGGTGGCAGGAGCACGAGGTTCCAGCAGGCAGGGGCTCTATGGAGCCAGGCCAGCTCCCCCTTCCCTGCTGGTGCAGCCCAGCCTGGCTCTACAGACCCCTGCTGGCCTGTGCCCCACTCTGGATCCCACCGGTGCTGGCCCTGGGACACTGGTCTCAAGACATTGGGACGTTGGTCTCATGATGGTGACCAGGGGGTGGGGCACCCGTCAAGGGGTGGGGCTACCCATGCAGCCCTTGACAGCCTGCCAAAACTGGGTAAGTGGCCCTCTGCCCAAAATAGTTGCCCGCCCCTGCCCTAGGGCCAGAACTGGGACAGAGCCATGGGCAGCTTATCCAGGGGGGAAAGGGGGATAGTGAAGGGGAACTGGCTCCCTGCTGCTGTACACACCCCCAAGGAAGGCGTGGGGGGCATGTCCCCTCCCGGATTTGTGTGTGGGGCTAGGGCAGGCTGCACCGACCTCTTCCTAGTGGCTGAGGGGGGAGCTGAGGTCAGGGAAGGCAGTAAGGTTGTTGGGAGGGGTGGCTACAGGGAATTTTTGGGTGGCTATGGCCCCCAAGCCTTCCCATAGCACTGCCCTTGCTTGGGGCACTCCACTTGGGGCTCTGAGGGAAAGGCATTAGAGTACAGTGACCCAAGCATGGGTGGTGCTAGGGGAGGCTTGTGGGGCTATAGCCATCTCAAAATTCCCTGTAGTCCCTCTCCCAGAACCACCGGTGCCACTGCCACCCACCCTGCATAGCTGAGTCTGCCCCACCCAACCCAAGGCCAGCCCCCCACTTAGAAGAGGCCAATGCAGCCCCTGGCTTTGAGCCCACAGCAGGCAGCATGCTCTCGCCCCATGCACAAATCCGGGGGGGCACATTACCCTTATGCCTCCCCCAGGTGTGCATGCAGTGGTGGGGAGCCACCTCCCTCCACACCCTTCCCTGGACAAGCTGTTGCCCCATCCCACTCTTGGCCCATGGGGTCGCATTCACTGCCCCAGTTGGCCAGCGCCTACCCCTGCCTCGCTCCCTGCTTCACTGTGGGACCTCGATCTGCCTTCCCTCCCCCACGTCCCTTTTCCCCCGCAACAGACTTACTGGCAGGGCGCTGCTCACCAAGCTGCCTAGCTGCATTCCTGGAAAATCAGCTATCGGATCAGTATCGGCCAATATGGCTGGCTAATAATCAGGTATTGGTATCGGCCAGGAAAATCTTTATTGGTGCACCCCTAGGGCTGGGCTCCTGCTGCCAGGAGCCAGACAGCCTGGAGGCAGTTGGTGTAACAGGTGCCAAGTCACTAACCTGCCAGGCCAGGGAAGCACCAGAGCCCCGGTCTCCTGGACACAGGCCAGGAGACTTACACTGGGTACACAGGAGGGGGAGAGTTCCCTCCACAGCCACCTGACTCCGTGGCTGAAGACTGAGCAGGCGCCCCTGCCTCTGCCTAAGGTGACAGCAGAGGAGCTGGATGGCAGGGACACGCAGACCAGACATGAGACAATGCAACATCCTCGCACCTCCCCACCCCGTGCCACACGCCCTTGTCAGTCATCCCTAACTTTCAGTGCCCCTCACCGCCCTCCTGCCCACACCTCCCTGCCCACACTCACCGCCCGTCTGGTTGTAGCGAAACTGCAAGGTGCGAAGCTTCACTCTGAATTTCTGCTCCCAGCCCCGCAACGTCTCCGTTTCCCTGTCCCAGTAGTCTGGGTCGACGGCCCCCTGCACCCAATCTGCACGTGGCTCCACTCTCTGTGTTTCACTATCATAGTGGAGAATTTGCTGGTCATCTACGTAGCTCAGGGCAGTGAAGGCAGGCAGGTCTGGGCCAGGATCTGACACTCCCGTGTAGAAAGACCGGTAGGAGTGGGAGCCTGTGGGAGAGTGACAGGGGTCAGCACTACTGGGAGCAGAAGCCAGTGCCCTCAGGTGCTCACTGCCAGAGGGGCCGCAGGGGAAGGACACGGAGCTGCAGGCCAGGCTGAGTGGAAGCACAGAGCAGAAGGAGCAGTTGGGGCCCAACAGGACAGGGTAGAGCCAGCTGGGACCAATCAAGCAGGGCACAGGCCTGGCCTGGAGGGGCCACACACCCTATCTCACAGGCCAGTTGTGCTGCACCACACCCTCCATCCCCAGTACAGGCACCCGCACAACCCAGACACTCAGGCCCATCCTGCTCCTGGGGAGCCCTTGTGCGCCTGAGTCAGGACCTGGGCCTTGCAGCTAGGGCCAGAGCTCAGCAACACTCAGGCCTCAGTTCAGCTACACAGTTAGGGCCTGGTGCCGGAGGGACCCTGCAGAGCAGATGAGGGTCTGCCTGGATAAGCAGCTTCTCCTTTGCTTGCAACCCATCTGTCTTCCTCATCAGAGACGCAGCAGGTCCTGTCTTCCTGTGCCATCAGCAGTGCCCTGGGCAGCTACAGCCTAGTGCAGAAATGGCCACACTGGGAGAGGGGAGGGTGCTGGATGCCCATCCATGGAGATGCTTTGCCCAGGGGTGGTCTCAGGGAGTGGGCAGCGCTGTGCTGAGGACTGCTCTGCGCACAGGGTTTGGACTGAGCCAGTCATGAACGCAGGGGGTATGTCTGGGTGTTTCAGACCATAGTAACTCCTCTGAAGGACACGTGAGGACCCATACACAAGGCCCTTTCTGTATGCACCTTTTCCTATGCAGTTGCAGGAAACAACTGGAAGCCCAGCCACCCCAGGGACCTGCGATCTCACGGGGCAGCATGCTGCTGAGCGGGCTTCGTGCCCACAGCCAAAGCCCTACATACACATGCAGATGAACCCTAAAAACACGAGGCTAAATTTGGTTCCTTATTCCTAGTTGCTTATCCCCCATTCCCAATTGCTTTTTCAAAGCTGACCTTGAACAGTGAATTAGAGAACCTAAAGATTTAGGATGTCATCAAAAATATATATTTGCTAATAAAAATGTGAAATAATATCGCGTATCAAGTACACATCCTTGAATAAAGAGATGGGATTATGGGGCAAAATCCTTTTCAGGGGACACGTCTGAAGAAGTCTGAATAGGCACTGCACAACCCAGCCATGGTTTTTGCATGGCAGCCTGCCCACTGACAACCCTCAGGCCTGTGGTCTACGTACATAGATAGCACTGAATAAGAAGCTGAGTTTGGGCTTGAATTATAGTTGAAAATCTTTGTGGGGTAGCACCAAAGCACACGTCTCTGCCACCAGAGGAGTCTTCTGAGGAAGCCTAGGCCGAGTCCTGCCTGACCGGAAGTTCGGCTGGGGCGTGCCAGGCTGCCTACAGACAGGCCCCAGGCCTCTGTACTAAATACTTAGCCCCAAATAAGGAGCTGGGTTTGGCTGGGATTACAGGTGGAAATGCTTTTCAGGTCACCCCAGACCACATGTCTCTGCCACTGGGGGTTTCTCCTGAAGAAAGTTTGGTGTGACCCAAAAAGGATTTTGATTGGAAATCCAACCCTTTATTTGGTGCCGAGTACATGACGCGCAAGCCTGGGGGGCTCTCAGTTAGCTGGCTGGCATATGAAAACCAAGCTTTGAGTCGAGCGCCGCCCTGTGCAGACTTATTCAGGAGATCCCCGATCAGGGAGATGTGTGGCTTGGGGTAACCCGAAGGGGGTTTGGCTCCAAAAGAAGACCCTTATTTGGCACAATGTACCCAGCGTGCAGGTACCGAGGGGTGCAGGCAGCAGGCTGGCACTCAGAAACCGAGCTTCCAGGTGGGCAGGGGCCTGCCCAGGCTTCTTCAGGAGCATCCCCCGAGACGTGTGGTCTGGGGTGACCCAAAAAACATTTCCACCCGTCACCCCAGCCCAAACCCAGCTCCTTAGTTGGGGATAAGTATTTAATACAAGGCCCAGGGTCTGCCAGTAGGCAGCTTGGCATGACTGAAGCCGAGCTTTGGGTCGGCCTGAAACAGCGAGCTTCTTCCAGAGAGTCCCAGGGGGGTTGAGACATTCGTTGGGGAAGGATTTGCAGGGGTAATCCCGGCCCACCCCCAGCTCCCGATTCAGTGCTATACATGCAGCCCACAGGCCGGGGCCATCCGCGGGCAGGCCGGCACGCAAAA